TATTTCATTGGATTTTTTTCCATTTCCTGGAATATCCGAAGCTCTGAGCTGCTCAGAAACCAGAGTGGTGAGTTACTGCTTTTCCACTTTCACCCCGAGAAAAGCCAGCAGAGGTGGCTTTGACAAACAATAATGATGCCTCCTGGGAGCTTCTCCCTTACTCTGCCTGGAGAGCTGAATGGAGTGGCTCTTGGGAGACGGAGCGTCCAGGACCGCCAACGAGGATTATCTCCCACATCTGGACAAGACGGACCTTCCACATCTCTGTAATGGATTCACGGTCTAACAAAGTCTTTGAAAATGTTGCTTTTTTCACTTCCAGGAGTGAAGCAGACGTAAAACCAAAGTGGATTTTTGTTTTGTGTGGATGAACAGTGGCTTCAGAACCAGAACAGCCGGTCTCATCCATTTGGGCTGAATGATTTCTGCTCCAGCATTAACATGATGCAGCTCAGTGTTCATATGCATTCATTTGAAAAATAGGCCACTTCCCTGGAGAATCTCCGTCTCTTCGTGTCTCACGCGCATGCTCCCCGTTTCTCTCTCTCTCTCTCTCTCTCTCGTCTCCACACCTTTTCTCCTGGCTGTCCGTTTGTTCTTGCTTTCCCACCTACGTTCATCCTTTTTGTCTTTTCTCCCTCCGTTTGTTCTTCCTCTCACCTTTCAGTCTTTCTCTCACCTCCTGTTCTGCTAATGACTCCTTGTGTTTCCCCCTGCTCTCTCTTACTCACTGCCTCCCTCACACTGCTGCTTACAAAACAAAAGGTCATGAGTTTTCTGATACAAGTAAGTCGTACAACTTGTGCTAAATGTTAATACGGGATATATTTAAAATGTTTAAAATCAAGAATTAAGAGTGATATTGTCATAGACCGAATCAATATTTTTTTCTGTTATCTGTGCCTTGGAGTCTAAAAATCTTTACTTTCCTGTCTGAATAACCCGAAGCCGCCCAGCATGGCCCGTTATACTGCATGTTGCGTCCTCCCAAGAGTCCCCGGACCGCCCGAAATGTGCCAGAAAATGTCAGCCATGACTCAGCTTCATGCTTTCGCTGCACATAAAAAATAGGCCAAAAAACCTCGAAGAGCTATCCAAAGGTCAACCCTGTGTTAAGTTTTGTTGCTGTCGCCTCATCAGGTGTTTTTCCAGTTCAAACCACTCAATTAAAAGAAAAAAAGAGGAAATAAATACCAACTTTTAGGCTTCATCTGTCTCCCTGCTTTTACACATACCTTTATCTTTTGGAATTCTTGAATGTATAAGAGATTTGTCGGATCTTGGTGTACAAAATAAACCAATGGCATTTGTTTTTGAGAGAAAAGGTAATATGACTAAACAGACTTTCTGTGTACTGAACTCAGAATATGAATATTTCTTTTTTGGTTTATTTTACAAGCGTGAAACAGAAACACTTTTTTCACATCATACAAGTCACACAATCGACCACAGGATGCTACCGCTGGCGGAAACGGCGAAGGAGAAGACAACAGGAAGTGGTCGGGATGACGGTGCGGCATGTTTTATATTGACGTGTTGCACAAGCAAACTTATCCACATGTGATTCCAGATGGGCTTCTTACTTAGCGGAAACAGGGCAAATGCGAAATTGTGTTTTTTGTAACAGAAACTCAGCTTATGAAATGAACTGCAGTTTTCTGTACCCAACTTTTTGGGAGTACAGTTTCGCTGAGATAAATCTGAGTTGTTATACAATCAGCCCTTTCATCAATTTCTTTGAGTCATATTGTTTGTGGTTGCACTACATACAGTATGACCTCAAGTCATTTTCAATTCAATCTAAATGAATTGGAGGTTTTATTTATTGAGGAAAGGACTGAAACGCCTCTGGAACCTTGAAAACTTGCATTCATCCCGTCATGCAATTTCATGTAACAATGCCTTTTTCTTAAAAGCTGAACAGATAAAAAGAAAGAGAGATAAAAACAGAATTAAGAAACCAGTGGCTGCCACACAGAGAGCTAGCTTAGGCTGCTGTTTTATCAGTCCTTCCTGTTGGTTCTCCTGTCATCCAGTGACATGTGTTCACACCTGTAGGTATTTCGGGCTGAGAGGTGTCGCATGCTGTCAGGACTAATGTTTGAAACCTTGAAGGTTCATGTCACTCAGTACTACGAAAGAATACTGAGAAAAGAGAATAATGCAACTGTTTTCTTTATTGCCATGCAACACCCAGAGGTACTTTTATGCATTTCACCCTCTAAATTTAAACTGCGGCATTGGATGAACTATAATCTCCGATTCTATTGAACATTTCAAGATGTTTGCGCCAATTAAGCTGATTTGTCATCACTTGGTGGATAAAAAGTTTGAGACTGAGAATCTTTGCTGTTAAAGTTTCTTTGGTGGGTTTTGGATTGCGTGGGAGAGAGACACCGATACAATATTAATTTCTGTATCCGTGCCGATAGAAAAAATTCTATATGGGGTATCGGTGACAATGTGCCCAGTCTACAAGGGCAGATCTATTCATCTCTATGTTTTGTGCTTTGAGTGACGTCATGTTTTATTATTAAACATAAAATGTATAATTGTACTTTCTGAACCGTTTGAAAGAAGCTTTTTGTATTTCAGTTTGACCAAGGTAGTCAACCTGTCGTTTGCCAAGTGGAGATTACAGAAAATCCAATTTCTTACCAAATTGATGAAAGTTTGTGGAAAAAACAAAAAGTGTTAAATTTTTGTCCTGCCCCATATTTAATGTCAGTTGGTCTTAAAGATGGGACAATAACACAATAAGACTATTGATTAACATCAAAAGTGAGGTACCTGGTCCTGACACAGCAGAATACTGTGATTTCCACCCTACTGATCTCAATACACATGCACTAGACACGGTTACTCAAGATCTGCAAAAATTTCTCATATTTAGACCTGCTTGTCATGATTTTTCTTTTAATTACACCACACATGATACGATAAGGCAGTGTGACAGCAGCTTTAAGTTTGTGAAAATCAGTTCAAACCAGCTGTTCCCGACGAAATGGTAAGGGAAAGTCTCAGAGGGCATTTTGTAAATCTTAACATTTGTGTACATGGGTGTGTGTGTGTGTGTGTGTGTGTTTGTGCGTGTGTGTGTGTGTGTGGTGTAATCAGTGCAATGCTGGGGTGGAGATGGGGCGCAGCAGGTTGTGAAGGACCGCTGCACCCAGAGATAGAGCTTTAGTTTCTCCTGCTGCTGCTCCAAATCCCACTGCCATGTCTGCTGCGCATCTCTCTGATGAACGCATTTGCTGCGACGGAAGTAAAATAGAAGTTTGTGGAAAAACGAATAAATCCCTTCCTGACTTCTCTGTCATGTCATAAATGTCTGTAGATAACTGACTTTCTCCACACCACACTTTCATTGCTTTTTTTTTTTTTTTTTGTCATTTTTTTGTTTGTTTGAGCTTGTTGACTCCCATGACAGTAAAATGCACGATGCTATTATGCCAGTCTGTCAATTAAATATCCTGTTTTGGAAAGAAAAGAGAGAGAGGACAAAAGATGCTGTGGAAAGGATGAAAAGCAGAATCCAGAGCTGCCTTCAAAGACGCAGAGAGGCAGACGATGGTTAAGTTCGGCTTTTCCTTTAATGACTGTCTCCCTCTTGCGGCGCCGTCTGCGTCGCATTTGGACTCCTTGTCCATTAGGTTCCCATCTTTTCCTCATACAGACAGTAAAAAATGGCTCATTTTACCCCATGGTGAAGATTATAATACCAGCCGACGACACGACTGACGGGCTGAAGCTTTTCAATCCGACTCAGGTTGCGTATTCTTCATAAAACGCTCATTGGTATATAAGCTTCATAAGATATTATAACGTGAAAAATCTGTTGGATTTTTGTTTTTGATGAGCATTTCTTTGATACGGGCAAGATTTGAAATGATTATACCCCACAGCATTACAGATCCTCCACCGTGTGTTACGACTATGAGGCGCTTTGTCACGTAAGCTCATAAAATCCAAAGTTCCCTCACACTCCGATCAAGCTAAACAAGACACACAATTACAATTATTTGATTATATTTTCATCCCATTAATATTTTTCCCCAATATAATCAGAAAGGGCATTGCCAGAATGCCAATAATAGAACAAGAAAAGGTAAAAATCTGAAAAAATAAGAGCTTCATTTCTTCATCATGTGAAATTGTCCTCCATAACAAGAGAGATGTTTTAATACAAATACCTGAACTGTAGAGGAGTTCACTAAAGATTGGGGAACAAAACAGGCCCATTTGCAGACGTAGGTCTCGTTGACCCGAGCTGCCATGAGAGGCCTTGATGATGATTGGAGGCAATCTGCCTACACGGGGCAACATGGGGCACCGAGTCCCTGGTATAATTATGACACAGTATGAGAGAGGAAGAGCCGCGGAGATTGACTGGGGCCACAACTATTTATAGCTGCCTGGCAAACTGTCTTGTTCATGAGTGGATGGCGCTGAAGCAGGGAGGCTGATTGCTGGATGAGCGGTTGAAGAGGAGAGGTTGCAGTCGGTTTATTTACTTGGCCTGCTGACAATGAAAAGTAACTTGTAGGCGCTATTAGGTCCGACCAAAATGTAGCTTTTTGTAGAAGAATAATGTTAGGGGAGAAGCGACTAATCGGATCGATCGCGATGAATTGATTATACAAATAATTGTCAACAATAAAATATAAATGATTAAACATACGTATGATTATTTGTTTATTTGCGTCTCATTTCCAAAATGATATAAAAAAAGGCTTCAATGAAAAATTTGCAGAATGTGCCCATTTTCAAATCTGATTATTTGATTAATTGTCAGAATAATCGTCAGAATTACTTATTAGCTGCAGCGCTAAACAATGTGGTTCAGCAAAGTGTTCACACACATGCAGACGCTTTTCAGCTTTTCATCGACAAAGAATTAAAACAATCTTGGCTTTGACGGCGCTTGTGAAATATGTTATGGAAACCTCAGCGACAGAGAGGCTACAGTCTTTTTTTTTCTCCTCTTACCGTTTCTTCAGGTACTACAGCGCCACCATCCTGCAGATGTCGGGAGTGCGTGACGACAGGCTGGCGATCTGGCTGGCAGGGCTCACCACCCTCACCAACTTCCTGTTCACCCTCCTGGGGGTGTGGCTTGTGGAGAGGGTGGGCCGCAGGAAGCTCACTTTGGGCAGCATTACAGGTGAGACACAAAGGGAGGGAGATCAGCGGCCGACTCCCGGGCAACAAACTAATCCTCATTTCATTGCTCAACAGGTACGTGTTTGAGTCTAAGCCTGCTGGCCGTAGGTTTCCTCATGTCTGCTCAGCACAGTCCTCCAGTTACTGTCCACCCTCTGGACCCGGTCATGGCCAACTCCACCTGCTCCAAGTACCAGTGAGTAAAAGCCCAAATCCAGGTCGGATGGGGGTTTCCAACTCACTTCTGCAGTGATTGGGAGCAGCATTCAGGTTCACATGTCATATTTGAACATGTGCTGATAATAAATCATACCTCACCTATTTACGTTGTCGTCTGCTTAAAGCTGCCTTTCTAACGTCATTGTAGTCTTTGTGTGTGCTAGAAAGCATGAAACTGAGGTAACGCATAAAGTGCAGCGGTGACTTTCAGCAGATTACAGACCCAGATGTTTAATTTCTTACAGTGTCAGGAACCGTTGGTGTCTGAGATAACCTTTATCTATTTATAGTGTTTACTAATAAGCGAGTAGCTGACCTTTTGGCTGTTTAATTATTAAAAAGCGTTAGGGGTCAAGGTTTTTTTGTGTGGCTTTTTTGCTCTTATTTAATGACAGAAACACGGTTTGGTGTTTAGCTGGAATTAAATCAACACTCTTTCTGGAGGTAAATAAACAAAAATTTGATGTAAACATTACTTTTGAAAGAATCGCAAACAGTACAGAATAAACAATAAATAAATGAATAATTGAGAACCACACTGGATTTAGTCGATTTACATTTTATTATTTTCACAATTGTGAATTAAATGTTTCTCTAAGGGTTCGTGGTGGCCTTTTTTCCTTTATAATTAAGCCAAAATATGTTATTTTTTTAAATAAAGTTGAGTGTCTAGAAGGTCAGTAACTGTCTTAACATCTGACGTGACGCACTGGTCCCTTCATGGTTTTATTCAGCTAATTATTTCTACTGATGACAGAAAACAAGTGGGGGGGGTTTCATGCTTTGTCACATTTCTGCTACAAATTTCAATGTGTTATGCAGGCACTCCACCAGTCTGACCCCAATTACCACAACTGAAATGTCTGGGATACTTTCAAAAAGATGTGTGTGTGTGTGTGTGGGTGTGTGTGTGTGTGTGTGTGCGTGTGCGTGTGCATAACTGAGCTTCACCCGTTTATCCAGGGTTTAGGCAACAGTGTTGTCTTCATTTGTAAATGTTTAATAGTGAAGTATTTCAACTTTTAGTTCCTTAATATTTAAAACATACCACTTTATTGCAACACTTTATAACCAGAGTTGTTTGATTATTGCTACTGATGTCACATTCGTTCCACATGGGATTAATTTTTCTTTTCCAAATGCCTACAGTTGGCTTAGCTTGTCTCCACAAGCTACATACACACACCCACACACACGCACACACACACACAGCTTCAGTATTTCTTCATGTGAGACAGAGATCAGATGCCTCTATGTTCCAATTGACTCACTAAAAAAGAGAGAAGACAAAACTCCTGGGTAAAACATAAAACACTCATTATGATGAAAAACGCCTAATGTACTCACTGACCAGAACCAACTCCCTGTAATTCCACTACCCTCAACACACACACACACGCACACACACACACACACAAAAACACGAGTAATTTGAAGAGATGAGTGCTTTCACCACTCCGTGTTCCCACACATGCTTTTAGCGACCATCAGTTTCAGAACCATCACTGCCTGCTTTTTTCTGTTATCATTATTACCTCAGTAGTGTGAAAAGCTATTTACACTTAAATATTTCTTCTTTTCCTACTTTTTTTTTTGTCAGAGTTAAAAGTAAATATCAAAGTTTAATATTAATTAAACGCAATTTATGTGAAGTGGTAACTACAAACAGTCAGAACAAGCTAAAAGATTGTTGAAAGTAACACAAAGAACTTAGGAATGCAAATAACTACAATAATTACGAGAAAATAAATAAAATATATCGTCTGTCAGTTATCCTCTGAATAAGTTTATAACTACTTGTTATAATGGGGTAAGTTTCCCTTAGTTATTGTTAACTAAGTTACTGTTTGCAGTTTAATTGGTTGGAGAGCGACATGAGGGGCTTTCCCAGGGCGCCATTCTCTGCTTCGGTGGATCACTTTTCTTATGTGTGCGTTTCCTGTCTGGTGTGCAGAATGTGTGAGCCGTGCATGCTGGACCCTCGCTGTGGCTTCTGTTACCGTGAGAATGGCTCGACTCTCCTGGCCTCCTCCTGCGTGCCGATCAACAAGGCCACCACCGAGCGAGCGGCGTGGGGCAGGTGAGTCACGGTGGCCCCCAAGGCGTGAGTCCCGGCAGGCTCACGGGACGTACCGGATCTCAGGGCGAGACGCGTTCCCTTCAGAACCCGCATTCTGCTGAACAGAAGCCATAAGTAATGTGTCTCCCTCTTTCAGATGTTCAAACTCTACTCTCATGAGAGATCAGACCTACTGGGCCTATAACTACTGTCCCACCTCATATTCTTGGCTGGTTTTGTTGGGGCTGGTGCTCTACCTGGCTGCTTTTGCTCCAGGTAAGAGGATGAAACTGTTCACTCAGAAAGATTTGGAGGAGATTATTCATCTAGAATCCATTATGCACCTTTTTTTATTTATCATTTTATATGTGTTCATGTATCAATCTTAAATCTGAAAAATTAAGAAATTTACCTAAGGACTTTATGTACCTTTTACTATAAATAGTAAAAGGTACAGTATAGTTATTTCTGCACTCTGAATTAATTTCCTGTAGTCTATTCAGTAGTACTTTAAATGCAAAAGTTGGTGTTGTAGTATAAAGCAGTTAATGAGGCCAGAGAGGATAAAGAGACACAAACACTTCTTCACTTCTTTTAGGTCCAAGTATGTCCCAGAACTGGTGTTGCGTTTGAGTAAATGAGATGCCAAACTTTTTTTATTCGATACATGTAAACAAATCAGGTTAGTTTGTTGTGCGTTGGAAAACTCATTCAGTCCCTGCTGCAGATGAACAACTTTTTGCAGATAAACAACTTTCGAATCCAGGTTACCTTCTGGAGAATACCCTGTAAAATCAAGCTGCTAAACCGAAATCTAAATCAACTTCAAAACTACTGAAATTAAAGCACTTCAAAAACTACTGGGTATTAACAACACACCATTATGTCATCTGCATAGAACAGCATTTGATAAATTATCCGAAAGATTAAGTTTGCCGTTGCGTTTTGTTGGTCTTTAGAAAACTCAAGTTGAATGTTCATGTGAATAACTTGTTAGTTGTGATAGGTAGTCTTCGAACAAGATCACTTAAAAATCGAAGCAGCTAATTTAGAAATCTCTTTCCTCAAAAAATGTTCTGACTCCATAACACTAATCACACCTATTGAGGCTGACGGTTCATTTCTCTCTACCAGGAATGGGACCAATGCCATGGACCATTAACTCGGAGATCTATCCCTTATGGGCGAGGAGCACAGGGAACGCCTGCGCTGCTGGAGTCAACTGGACCTTCAACGTCTTGGTGTCTCTCACCTTCCTCCATTTGGCTCAGTACCTCACCTACTATGGTCAGTATTTTCATGTCGTTGATGTTTATCATTTTCAGTGTAACACATAAAGCAAGATCTACACATCTTGAGTCAAAACCATTTTAAAAGGAAAGGATTGATACCTTGCAAGGTTGTTTGTCGTTTCTCCTCAGACAGACAGAGGTTGCCCTTTAGTGAAAGTAGAAAATCAATCAATCAGAGGTGATGATTGAGGCTTCCTGAGCGAATGATTGATTTAACCTGTTGTTAACCCATTCGCCTAGGTGGAAAATAAATTTAAAAAAAGCTTGATGTTGAGGTGGTATTTAACGTACAATTATCCAAAGCTATAAGAAAAACGTCGATCTGCTTTGACATGGAGGAAATGGAGATCACAGCAGCTAGGATATCTCATTAAACCTTTGGCATTTTATGAATGAATTCCTATCACCAGATGCGTTTTGTAGTTCTCTGTGTTATATTAACCCTGCTGTAATGAAAGTCTGACAGGAACTTGTTACTCCACATCATATCCTCGCTGGCAGTCTGACAGCAATATTTCAGTGAGGTAAATTAACATCCTGTAATAACTGCTTCTTGGATCTGCTGTCACAACCAGTGATTCTTTTATGAGGGTTCTTACACATCCTCTCCATGTTGGAATTTCCTATTTTTTCATATTAAAAATGACAAAATTAGCATTTTTTTTAAAGGGTCATAAAAGAAATGACCACAAAAGATAAAGTGCTTTATACCATGAAAACATAATACACAAGCAATAAATATTACATCATCAAGCAAATATACATCAAATATACTGATTGATTTTTCAATTATTATTATTATTATTCAAAGGCAACTCTAAACAGTTTTAGCCTTGATTTAAAGGCATTGTTTCTGCAGTTTTTTTTTTTTTTTCTGGAAGTTTGTCCCAGATTAATAGAAGCATAAAAACGTCTACTGAAAAATGCTTAATATCCAGACTATGTACGACTGCTTTCCAGATGGTGAATGAGAACAAGTACATTTATAGAACAAACACTTTGAAGAAAAGTCTGAAATGTGGAAGCGTCAACTTTTTTACCACCGGCTTTTTGTTTACCCCAGGAGCTTTTTTCCTGTACTCCAGCATGGCCCTGCTGGGTTTCTTCTTCATCTATGGCTGCCTGCCAGAAACCAAAGCGCGGCGCCTGGAGGAGATCGAGGCGTTGTTTGAAAACCAGCTCTGCTCATGCGGCGCCTCTGACTCAGACGAGGGGCGGCAGGTCGAGTACATCCGCGTCAAAGGCTCCAATTACCATCTGTCGGACAACGACGCGTCAGACGTGGACTAGGAGCGTGTCGTTGACCCCGCTCCGGGTCTTTCGGCGATCTCCATAACACGCAGAAGCGATCTGGTCTGTAATATTCATTAACACTCATTTTGTGATCCGTGGAGCCAGACAGACCTTAATCAGGAAGCGAGACTGTTTCCCCACAAACCGAATGCAGAATATTCCGGTACAGCTTTGTTCCTGTTTAAAAAAGAAACAAAACAAAAAAAAAAGTGCTGTACACGTGTCGTTTGGATTCCAGGTTTGTGCATCCACATCACTTTAGCTGACCTGAGAGCTGTTGTCGTGACTTGTTGTATCTCCTTAGTGCCGTCACGCCTTTCAGTGTGAGATACGTTTCGGGTTAGTGTTTCGGCTTGTAGCGTTGTGCAGTAATGTTAGCTCCCCTAAACGAGGACCCCGCTGCCCCAGCCTCCCCTCCAAGTTTGTGGATGGTCTTGACCTTCTCATGAACAGCAATCAACAGACATGCACAATGTTACACCTGAGCAAACTCGTACTGTTAGTGCTTGACTAACAAAAGCCCCAGTCGGGAGCACTGGAAAGATTATATGTGCTGTTGCTGAAATTTTCATTCTGTGGCTTTCACAGTCGTTTTGATTTTAGGTTTTTTAGTTTCTCATCTATAAGAAAATGCAGTTTTTTAGCACAATGCCAAGCGTCTCACCCTACTTCCAGAAGATGTGCCAATAAATCCCCTCATAAACCGCTGCTCAGAGGAACTGCTTCCTGGACGCAGGGTAAATGTATGATATTCTGATGAAGGAGTCAAGTAAAACTTTCATTAGTGCCTGTGTAATGTGCCTAATGCCCATTTTTGTTGCATTTCCTGCATGTTTAAATAGCTTCTTCAAATGCTGATGTTTTTTTTTGTCTTCCGTCATAGCCTTATGTACAAACTAGAGGAGCCTTTGGTTTCAGTCTGGCTTTAATGTAATTTAGCGATGTTTTGTAACAACCGTTGTGTAGTTGCTGCTTCACCAAGGTCCCCGTGTAGCAAAAACAGTTGAAGTCAAAAAGAAAAAACTGTTACAATAACATGTAAATAAATGCTGCAACAGTGCCCAAATAAACATGGATCCAGGATAATTCATGTCTTCATCCATAAAAATGTATCTCAGTCTAAATCAACCATGAACTGCCAAGCTGCATCGATTATCAAAGATAATAAGAGCAGGCATTTAAAACTGCGAGACTTGTCTTAAAGCAAGTGGTATTGTCGACCTATTTATGAGAAAAAAAATATTACAAAGCAGGAGAGCAGCGCCCTCATGTGGAAAAATCCGCAACTGTCTTAAGTATGACCAAAAATGTGATTTAAGGACATTCATTCAGTTGTGGGTATAAAAGCGGACACTGTTTCCTGCAGCCAGTTTAGACTCATTTAACCTCACAGTATGCACCATGCTGAGTTTGATGTGGGCAGAAAGGTGCCACCTCTCATTTTATTGTTAAAAAAACTTGCACCGACTAAATATTGCTGAAAGGTTTTATAAAGTGCCTTGCGCAAGCATTCATGACCCTTGAACTCCTCCACATTTTCTCACAACACAACCACTAGTTTTTGTTAGTTTTTTTGGGGGGGGGGGGTTTTCTGTATTTGGACTTTAAATAGGCCATTACAAAACATTTTACTGCAGCTCTGGTTATATGTCCAGGTTTTTATTCATTTTTGAAAGTGAACTTTTGTAGCCCCAAGGACATTTATTTTTCAGTATTTCCCCGTACATAGCTATATGCATCCATCTATTTTCCTATTCCCTTCTTTCTTTCTTTCTTTTTGTTTCCCCAGCCTGAGTAGTTCACCTCTGCAGCTCCTCCAGAGTTACATTAGGTCTCTTGGCTACTTTACTAATGAATGTCCATCATGGCTACATTATTTATTTTAGGGGTAAAAGAGTAAATGTGGTTAAGTACGTTGGACACCAAAGTTTTTAGTTTTTTTTTAATTAAAAAGTCATACCTGCATTCAATTATTTCCTAGCTATGCACTGCTTTGCATTCATCTTCCTTCATATCCCAATAAAATGGATAAGTTTGTTATAATCTGAGAAAATGAGGGGATAAAAAGATCAAGGGGTATGTATGCTTTTCCAAGGCATTGGTTATAGTTAATGTAAACGTCAGCCTTAGAGATATTTGTATGCTTTTTAAAAATATCTGATTATGTTAGCTGTTGTAGTAACAGGCCAAGAACATACAGAACTACTGATTCATTCATTGTGAAATGTGCTGCGTGTTTCTCACTGCACCATAATAATCTGACTGCATACATAAGGAAAATGCAATTCTTTTCATTTTTCATTTGGTAAAGCTGTCTTAAAACTGCGCAAAGTAATTTTGTACATATTGTACTATGGAAGACGTGTTGACACAATATTCAAAGTGATCGTGTACCTCTCATATGACGAACATCTTGTCAAAGGTTCTGTGATGTTTCACTCTCCACATGCAGTTGTGTTAACGCCTCTGCAGCCGACAGGCCATGTGACATGTACTTATGGTAAAATGTTTCCATGTTCTATTATTATTATTTTTATTTCATGTGAACTACTTATATGTTTCTATCTTAAGTAAAACACAAGTAAAAAAAATATATCTGTATAGTACATTTGACAATTGTTCAAGATGTAAATGTTTTGCTAGAGTTTATATTATATAAAGATGAATATCTACATAAAATCTAATGTATATGAAGAAAGAAATAAACTCAAGAGTCTAAAGAAATCCTGAAAGGCTTCTTGTTTCATTACACTACATATTTTTAACTAAACACTAGAAAACATTAAGCACAGAAGTACAATAAATATATTACTTTTCCTTATCTGTCCGCCATCCTTTGTTTACTTCTGCCTCAGCAGAAGCAAAACGTCGGCTATTTCTCGAAGCGTCTCCACCTCCTCCAACAGTGTGTGACCCCTGACCTCCTCTCTTCCTTCGTCTGACTCCTCCTTCACTAGGTTCTGCCTGTCCGGCCCTCTCTGCTCGCTCTCGTCTCCGTTTTCCTCTCCTGTGTGAGAAACACAAGAGCAGCTTGGTTTTATAGCTAACAGGCACAACTTCCATATTAAACACTCTCAGCTGAAACCAGGGGTGTCACTAGGTTGAAGGATAAAGGGGGGCTCAGTCCCCAGGAGATGTAGCGGATAGTATCACATTCCTCAAACAGCAACAATTTATCCAAAATTATAAGTATAAAATGTCTTTTATTTTCTTCAAACTCTCATGTATTATTTGTGGCTCTAAATGTGTTTTATTTAGCTGGTCTGGTTCTCAGACCTGCTAAATAAATCTTTGGATTGTAAAAGATGAACATCCCTGTTGTAGACTCAAGGGTGGCGTCAAATAACAGTTATCTGCTGAAATAATATCTTACCAGTCAAAGCAAAGTGGTTTTTGTCTGTACAGTGCCAAATTTACACTGTGGACAACTGAATGGTTGCCACAGGAGATTAAAGGATTTCTCAAACAAACATTCTAGGTATGTTTTTGACGAGGTAATAATTTTAAACAGTTTGTTAAAGAGTCTTATCAATAGATTCTGCCCTTTGAGGACATTCGTGGTCTTGATGTGTCCAAAAATTTGTTTGACACCCTAGTTTTAAGTCATACCTTTTGGCCTCCAAACACCAAGCAAGGGGTTGATGGGTCCCTGCAGGATTCTATCTGAAGGAACAATGTTGAAAATCCTGCCTCTTGAGCCCGTCCTCGATTCCTTCCAGCTCCAAGGAGTCACTCCGTCTTTACTTGCTGAGCCTTTTGATGGCGCTCTGAGTGTCTGTGTCTCCATGTCAGTCTCCTCCTCATCCACTGGAAGCTGTTGCAATACGTCAACAACTGGTCGACATAAAGCTTTGGCTTTGGTCTCGCCATTTGCATCGAAGCTGCACTGAGTTGAAACATCACATGTGGCAGCTGTGCCGGAGCACACAGTCTGAGTCGCTGCGTCTCGACTCTCTGCTTTCTTACATCTACACACTTCAGAGTTGTGAGTTGACGGCGGAGTCACGGGGCTCCCTGACTGCTGGCTTCCAGAGGCTTTATTCTCATTGATGGCCTCATTCGTCATGTTCTGGTTGTTTCCAACATTCACGTTGGATCTCGTTAACGGGGTGAGAGGCCCTGGTTGGGATCGGACAGTAATTCTCTGTGAGGATGATTTCAGATTGTCATAGCGGGCTTCATCCAAATAAAAACCAGACTCGTGATCACATGACTCACAGCAAGAGTCATCCTACAGAGGAAATAAAGGTCAGAGTTGCAAACAGAAAGGCTGTTTGTGAATAAGGAGTGAATTTTCATCAGTATTGACAGAATGTCTGCACAGCACAGCATGAGATTAAGTCACATCATTACTGTCATTTGAATAGCACTTGCCCAAAATAATTTTGCAATGGCACTTTTGTGTGTTATATAAGACATGTCAGAGCTGAAATGGTCAAAGCAATTTTTCAAAATTTTGTTTATCAAACTTTTCAGAAATACAATTTGATTGGTTACGCCCAAGTCAAAAACTAGTACTTTATATAAAATTAGCTTTTTATTTCCTCAAAAGGTAATCTACCGGTATCTTGGGTCTCATCAACTGGACTTATCCTCAATAGATACAAATACCAACTGTGGTGTTGTGTTTAAAATGTGACAAACTAAAGTGGGTTTGGATGGGTTTTATTTGCTAGCAGCTTTAAGTTGAGTTGTAAAAACAAATTACAGCGAGATAATGACAAGGACTTAAGTCTAACCTAATGTCTTACATATATATATATATATATATATATATATATATATATATATATATATATAAATGGTCATCTGTTTTCCTTCTCATCCTACCTGACTCAATTTAAGCGCATTTTGGTTTATTTTATGTGTTGTTTTGGGAACAAATTGCATGCTTATATGCTGATAGCAATTCAGGAGGCAAGGTTTTACAAATGCAAATGAACTTACATCATTGGAGTCTGAACTGAGGTAACCTACTCTGCATGAGCAACTTGGCAAATATTCAAAGCTTTTCAAAAGCCCAGCATTCTCTCCAAGACATGCTGTGGGTTTTAAACAGACAGCTATTCAGTTTAGTGAGACTTTTTTTTTCTACTTCCCAGCATACACACACTGACTGAACTGCTTGCTTGGAGACGTTTAACAAACTTACTGGAATTTCTGTGAGTGCCGTTGGACAGCTGAGAAAGAAACAGACAATATTTGATACTGTAACCTTTGCATGTGCTCCCATCTGAGTAAAATAACAGGAATTGTTTTTTGAAAACATCATTCGACTGCGTCAAAATATCACTTTTGGGGTTTTATCTACTGTTCCTTTCACAAAAGATTTGCAGCTACAAATTCCAACACTAGGTGGCAACAGATGAATAAACTTCAAGGTCTTACCTCCATTCCAACATCCTGAGGACTGGGTACAGTTCTTTCATTAAAAAGGAAGATCTCGTATTAAAAAGTGATCCAAAACAGAGTTTGAATCATCTGAACTAACACTTACTGAGGGGATGAAAGCCTCACTGATGATTCCTTTCTGAGATGTACCTTTGAGCATCCATTCCCAAAGAGTGCACCTGAAATCAAACATAAAAAAATATTAAAGGAAAGCAGTTACATTGTTCATGTTGAGGTTTTTAGGAGTATTCACTTTCTGTTCTATGTGTATTATCATTAAACATTGTGAAGACGTTCTCTTCAAACAGATGGATAGGCTCCGATTGGCTTATCGGAAAGTCCAGCATGGGCTGGTTGGTCTCCAGTTGGCCCAGACAAAATGAACTGGAATGTCCTCCATGACCTCCTGCTTCGGTTTTACTGTAATCAAACATAAAGTGAAGGGAGGCGGAGTTAAGAAAAGAGTATAACGCCATAACAAAAATGAACATCTCTGAATTGTATTTCTTTCCTCACTCTGGTTTTGGACTCCCAAATAGGACCTGGGATGGTGTTGGGGTCTCCAGCTGGAAAGCGGGTGTGCTGGATCTGACAGACCAGGAGATCGGATTGGTCATACCTCTGGGCTGGGAGAAAGGCTGAAACTAAAAAAAATGAATTTTTTTTTTCTTCCTAAGAATTCCTGGTAATACAACACATCACAAAGCCTATTAAAATGATCATTTTCAATGTGTATAATGTTCATAACCACTTCAGCTTGCTGCAGCGCTAATGTGTCCCAAGTTGGTGGAGAACAGCGGGGAAGAGGCTGCGACAGAGTTAGGCTTTGCTTCTGCTCATTCGTCTGCAGCGGGAATAATCCTGGAGGCACCAGCCTTAATTAGTTATTACACCGACCAATTGTGTGAAAATGCACTGGGAATATTGTGTAATCGTATTTTATGGCTGCTTCATTTGGTCAAACCTCGGCCTGAAGCGAAGCATGTGGAAGGAGAAGTGTGTGGAAGGTAGTCAGAGGCGCTGTTGTCCGAGAACGCCGACTCCTGTACTGGTGATAACTTAGAAAATGAAGAAGAATTGACTGAGTTTGTATGGAAAAATAAATAAATAAAATTGCAGAATTTATCAAAATGTACAAAAAGGAATAACTAACCTGTCCATACGTGATCCTCTGTGAACTCTTTAGTTTTCTGATTTCTTGAACCCTAGACACCATTGAAAAAGATGCAATAACTACATCGGTTTGTTCTGTATTTAGCTATTTGGTGTGGATTTCACCTGAACTGAGCCGGGCTGTCAGAAAGGCTGAGGTTTGATGGAGAACACGGGCTCATTGGGAGAACCAAGGGCTCATTTCTCCAAGGCTTGGATCCTTTAGGTCTGCCAAAGACAGCGACTTTTGGAGGTTCTTAAAAACAGAAAAAAAAAGAACATTTATATAATTTAAAAATATTTCCAGTTCTAAAGAATATAGAAATATAGTGGCGCAAAATTGTACACTTGTTAAATATACAAAATACCTACAATGGTGTTGACCATACGACAGTGACCCATAATTCACTTGACCAATATTGTTTCAGCTAAAGAGGCAAACACTAGCTTCTAGTGGGTAGGGTGTCATAACTTTTTGTTCAGTTATAATACACATTTCTATTGATAATTTAAATAGTAAAACAATGATATCATGGCTTTTGCATTTACTTTGATTTTCCAATTATCTTAAAATAATCGAAGATACCTGCGTTTCTTGATAAAGAACCAAATATTTAATGTGTTGTATTTTTTAGTAAAACCAAAAATGATCATATGATAACCTGGCTCTTTACCTTGATTAGTTTTTTTGGAAGCTATCTGGTTGACAACAAACAAGGTCAAAAGGTCAGTGCTCCCGGAGCAGATGTCCCCAGCCGAGGAGACGGGTGGCGTCACGCCCAGCGTCTTAAGTTTCTGCTGCAGTTTTCTCTTAGCAAAAAACTCCTGTGACGAAAAAAAAAATGAAATAAAAGACGAAAAGAAATGCAAACGGGCTCGTCCACATTCGCCGCAACTACGTAAAACCCATAGAAATTCAAAGCGGCGGACTCACCCTTTGCTTTTTTGTGTCGTTCTTCATCACTAACCGGTTCCTAAAATGTTAGCAGAACAGCCGTTAGCTAAACGTTATTCTCCTTATGAAGCTTAGGGATTTTTTTTTCGTCTTTTCTCTCGACTCTTACCTGGAGCCTCCAACCCAATTCATTTTTATTGGATGTAAGTAACTACTTGTCAATATATATAAGTATTAATATTTAGTATAAATCTGAAACGGGGACTTAACTTTGCTAGTAAGCTTGCTAACGGTACCTAAATATGACAAAGTGGAGGCACGCGCTGCACCGGAATCTTCTACTACCTTAGGTTAAAAATATTATTTATTATTTTTAACTTTTTTTTATTTTTGCACCTTTAGCCAGTATTTAGGTGTAAAATTGTTGATATTTTTCTAAATAATACATTAAATCAGTGATGGGTCCGGCAACACCAATGCGTCGGCGCATGCGTCAAGCCCCGTGATGGTGCGGGTATATCGTTCAGCAAGTCACGTGACCGATACAGGAACTGGGATGCATTTGCCAAAAATAATTCTTGATCTTTTACGGTACAGCGTCAATATGGAGCCTCGAGGCAAACAAACAAAAAAAAGCCCAGTTCACAAGCATCCTCATTCCAAACACCCTCACTTAAATGTTCACTTTATGGTTCATCTTCACATTATTTATTGAATGTATCTAAGAATATCAAATACGTTAATTAATTTAACAGATGATATCACATAATACAATATATATATCATATACGATGACATAAATCTTATTGTATTCTTGTATGCAGCAAGAAGTGTAAATTTACTTCCGCCTGCAGGTCCACCAATTACATCAACGCTTTAAGTCTTCTTCGGGGGGGTGTGGGGGGGCGCGACCAATCAGAAAAGCCATCCCAAACGACGTCATCAAGGTGTCATGAACCGCTGCAGTTTTTACAGGAAATTAGTTCGCCGTACAAATTAAAACGTCCATTGGGCGTTGCTAAAACTCAGTTTAATTTTGGTAACGCCACCCGGAAGTAGATTTTTAGTGCACATTGTTCCTCTTGTCGCAGGTGAACAAGCAGCAGAATGTAACGGTGCTTCTCACAGGCTGTCCTCACATCTCCTCGGCCATCACAATCCTCCTCCCCCCATCTCCCTATTTTCTACTCGGACGGTGCGGGGATTCGGTGTTTTTCGGGGGATGGGTGTTGCACGGACGGTCAGCAAAAAGGCGACTAACGTTTGAGAAAATATGTCCAACATCCTCGATGCGGCGTCCAGAGTGAAATGGGACCGCGCGACTGCGGCGAAGAGAGCCGTGTTCCTGGCGGCTGCGGCGTACGGCGTGAGGACCCTGTATCCCGTCATCTGGAAGCAGCTCTGCGGGAACAAAAAGCCGAGCAGCGGCCGCCGGGCGTCCAGGGCGGAGAACGGCTCGACGTGCTCCGCGAAGGCGCGGATAGACGTCGCGGGCGACAAGAAGGCATCCCCGGGAGTCGACGCGGAGTTTTTCAAGCAGATCCTGGAACTCGGTAGAATCCTCTTCCCCAGGCTCGTCTCCAAGGAGCTGGGTTTGCTGTGCTTGCACTCGGTGGCACTGATATCCAGGACGTTTCTGTCTATCTACGTGGCCAGCTTGGACGGGAAGATCGTCAAGACGATCGTGGAGAAAAACCCCCGGCACTTCATCATCCAGCTGATGAAATGGCTCCTCATCGCGATCCCGGCCACGTTCGTCAACAGCGCCATCCGGTACCTGGAGTGCAAGCTGGCGCTGGCCTTCCGCACACGGCTGGTCAGCCACGCTTACCGGACCTATTTCACCGACCAGACTTACTATAGAGTCAGCAACATGGACGGGAGGCTCGCCAACCCGGACCAGTCGCTGACCGAGGACGTGATGATGTTCTCCCAGTCGGTGGCCCATCTGTACTCCAACCTCACCAAGCCGATCCTGGACGTGATGCTGACCTCCTACACGCTGATCCAGACCGCCAGGGCGAGGGGCGCCAACGCCAGCGGGCCGACCCTGCTGGCCGGGCTGGTGGTCTTTGCCACGGCCAAGGTCCTGCGTGCGTGCTCCCCCAGGTTTGGCAAGCTGGTCGCGGAGGAAGCGCACAGAAAGGGCTACCTACGCTACGTGCACTCCAGGATCATTGCTAACGCTGAGGAAATAGCTTTTTACAGAGGACACAAGGTAAGGTGGTATCATTTCCGTTTTTTGCTGACATGTAAGCAGATACTTGAGCTGATTGTTCTCGGCTGTAGACGTGAGTCTGTATTTTGTCTAAAGTAAGTTTTTGCATGATTTAAAAAAAAAATCAATTTAAATAAGAAACTAATTCTATATTTTATTGTCATTCTTTCTCATTTTGTCATGTCACCAACAGAGATTTACCAATCTACTTTTTTTCTGTTACTTCTGCTACCGATATTAGTATCAACGATATCCGATACAGAGAAATAGCGCTGAATTGACTAAAATATTTTTTTTCAGAACACAGACTGAAATGTACTAAATTGCAAGTCTGTTTGACCACTCTGCACAAATACACCAACAGCAAACATGTAAAAACAATCTAACTTTAAATTGTGTAGTCAGTGGAATTAGGAGTAGAACAGCCAATGTAATATCTAATCTAGAATAATTTTTCAATATCGGGACCAATACAGATAGGCCTACTATTATCAGATCGGTTGCATCTCTAGTGATGACATCTGTGTATTTTTAACTTTTTTTATTGACATTTTCTATTATTAAAGGTGGAGATGTGCCAGCTGCAGAAGTGCTACCGGGCCCTGGCCGACCAGATGAACCTGATCCTGTCCAAGCGCCTCTGGTACATCATGATCGAGCAGTTCCTCATGAAATACGTATGGAGCGGCTCCGGCCTCGTCATGGTGGCCGTGCCCATCATTACGGCCACGGGCTTCGCCGACAATGGTGGGGACCGCATTGGCCCTCATTCGCTCTCAAACAGACGTGTGCGAGCCAGCGTCTCATCTGCCGTCCTCTCTTCCCCTGACTTATTCTCGTCCGCTTGTAGAAACGGCAGACGGACGGGCGCAGATGATGGTGAGCGAGAGGACGGAGGCGTTCACCACCGCCCGCAACCTCCTAGCGTCTGGAGCCGACGCCATCGAGAGGATTATGTCCTCCTACAAAGAGGTTTGGACGATCGCGCATCACGATGCTAATCAGAAGACGTTCACGCACAACCTAGTTGTTAGAAGCTGGGAGCGCAGCAACTCCAGGAAGTAAACTAAAAGTACAGCCACCTAGTGTTTGCACCAGTCTGCACGCTGCAGATTCACACAGTTTGACGGCAGCATGCGTATGTCACAAAGAGGATGAGTGGTTCGTTTCTGTGGTGGAGAGGAGGAATTGAAACTAGTGCTGGTGGCATGCTTTCAGCTTCCTTATCTGTGTCATCGCTCTTAAACGTCCCATCGTGCCACGTTCCTCCAATAAGAGCGATCAGCAAAGCGCGGGCTTAAAATAAGTACATTTGTGTTTACAAAAGTAAATCAGTTCATCTGCATTTCATTGGGTCATAAATAACATGTAGTGAAGCAAGACAGCGATTCTCTTTCTGTAACACATCAGTGTTAAAAATCATGAAACAAATTGTGCTGGTAAATGAATAATAGAAAACGGCAACAGATAAAATAATTGGGAGAATGTAAAGTATACGACTCAAACGGTTTCTGCAGAAGTCTTAAATTTCATCTTCTCAATATGCGTCTTGAAGGAGCAGTATTACGTACTTTCCATTCATAAAGTGCCAGTTTACAGCACAATCAAGTAACTGCGGTACCTTCAGTTGTTATAAAAATTCCGAGAATATCAAATATGATTTAAAATACAACTGGCTTCACAATTTAGCACCTTGAAATTGGGTGTCTGTCTCTTTAAAAACTCCTGCTCTTTCTAAAACTTGGTCTTCAGGAAGTCATCACAACATGGCTCCTCCATTAACCCTTTCACAACACTTTTACCAGCGTCGCACTGAGAAGGAGCTCCTTTACTGAGCTCAGCCGATTCGCAATTCCACCAGATGTTTGCTAATTGCTGCTGGCTAGTCTGAAGGAGCTGAGTGGGGGACGGCTGTTCTGTGTGAAGCTTGGAAACGGCATCTCTAATATTGGTCTTTCATGGAGAGTAGCAAAGAAAAAAACAATTTTTTGTGATTAAAGGAGATTACATCAGCTTTAATTTGAATCTGAATACAAATGCAGAGCAGCAAACGCCTGCATGCTGCGGTCCAGATGTGCTCACTATACCATATTATCTCATTCATATTCGTCCAGTTAATTTATAAAGCACCACGTCGCAATAAAACCATCGTAATTCACCTTGCAAAAAAGATCCAGCTCCTACATAATTACACAGGAAAGTAATTTACTTTTGTTAGCCTGGCTCGGCTGTTCTTTATTTCCTTTTGATTCCTACAGTTCCACAGTAACCTTATCAAATATCTGTAAGCCTGACCCAAAAGATCAAGCACAATATTGCTTCAGCTGTTATTTTCTGCCTCCTCTATAGAAAGAAATATGTTGCAGAAACAGCAACTAATGTCACCGGAATGAATTACTGCTTCCGACAGGACAATAGTCTGCATATGGTAACGTTCTAGATCTCTTTTTCCCCCACTCTTCGGAGGCTTAATTATATCCGTGTGCGTTACGCTGTTGCATGTGTATCAGCACTGAGAACTAAAGTAACAAGCCTCAAAATGACAGGCATTCTCACTGGTCAGCTGTGAACTGTGAGTGTGTGTGTATTCAGGGCTCCTTCTTTCAGGCTTAGCCTGGCTGTGAATAATCCACCATCTGTTGATCTTTCAGCCCTCTTACTTTCCCTCTTGTTCTATTTTTCTGCCAGGATTTACTTCAGTGCACTCTCAGCGAATGCAAAGTGATACATTTCTTTTTATTCAACGTTAATGCGCAAAATGAGACTCCGGGATTTTGTTCAATGCATTGCTGTTAAATTGTGATAAAGAGAGAGTCTCTACGTTAATGGACAGAAACAGTAGGTTTTGTGTGTGTGCTCTGTTGGTTCTGCAAGGAAATACAGCTGCAGCTTGAGAAAGTCGGCCATCCAGAAGTGAATATTTGTATCTTAATTTTAAAGAACTTTCCTCTGTTTGTCAATGTTACTGCTTACAGTGACACTTGTTTCACTATCAAAAGTTTCATTTCTTGTTATCAACCTATGGAGTATTGGAAATTTGGCAAAAATAAATATGCTAATGCTAACTGTCAGCACGCTAACCATTAGTTTTGATAGGACTTGTTCATTTGCTTCATAAAATTTTTCATTTCAGTGAAGTTATAAACCTTTTTTTCTTTGCAAAATTTACCTTGTTTTACTTATGGAATTTTTAAGAATTTCTTAGGATGTTCTACTAATGCGTATTATTTGTTAATGAGCTGCAGCTTTAATTAAGTTTATTTTTGCTGTCCATTCTCAGCAATATCACAGATTTGCAGTGGGTTTTTTCTTTAAATTTTTTTATACACATCCTTGGAGATATCTAATTCTCAATACCTGCTTGATTCAGTTCAAGAACATTTTGAAAGTAAAAATTCCTGGTATTTTGATGTATATCTAAAAGCGACAGAAAACCAACAGAATTCTCTCTCTAAAGAAACTACTTGCATTTTCTCTCTAAAAAGAAAATAGTTATCCAGGAAGATAGACGAAAGCCTAATATTGACATGACGTTTCCATGTTGCGGGTAATGTCAACTGTACATTCTTTTGCTCTTGAACTTCGGCAGCCGGTCGGCTGAGCGGAGAGATGTGACTGGGTGAAAGAACACAAGGTAAATTTTATCTGGGCTGTCCCACGTCCGTTCTGTGGATTCCTAGAAATTCTCTGCAATGTTTAATACTGTCAAGCTGTGTCAACAGGCGGTATTGTCTGACTGCGGGGTGCAAAGTCATATTTTCTTTGTTTTATCTCATTTTGTAGAATGTGGAAGATAAATGTTCCCTTTAGTTGATCATAATAATTCCTCAGGTAAACAGGAAGTCATGCATTACTAATTCCGACTTCATACATACTCTGTGCCTATACTTGTACAATGCAGTTAGATTGTGCAGATCTTCTGTCTGCCAACACCCTTGGGGGTTACTCCAGTTCAGACCCACTGGTCACACACACACACACACACACACACACACACACACACACACCACACACACACACACACACACACACACACACACACACACACACACACACTGCTTGGCAGAGATAGTGACCCTCTCGGTTTGTCTCAACCTTGTTTTCTGACGTCTTCCTCGATGACCATTGCGCGCTCTACCACCCTCCCCCCGTGTTTTGGTTGCCACAGGTCACAGAGCTGGCAGGTTACACGGCGAGGGTCCACAACATGTTTGTGGTGTTTGAGGACGTCCAGAGGGGGATCTACAAGCGTTCCTCTCTGTCCGCCACCACAGGAACGACGCTGAAAAGCAAACCCGAGATGCACATAGACGGGCCGCTGGAGATAAAAGGTAGGTTAGTCCTGCTGCGTGTGCAAATTTCACCTGTGAGGGGACTTTGAATGGGTCACATGACTCTCTAAGCAAGCGAGGCTATGTCAGAATAGAATACACCCACTCCAAATATGAATTTTTGCAGTATGTGCAGAGTTGAGGTGTTTCCTAGTCCCCGTTTCAGATGCAGAAAAGTAGACACACATGCCCTACATTGACAGTTTTAACTAGACTAAAGTTGAGTGCCAGATGGTGGCTATGCAGTAAAAGATGGAATGGTTATAAACATAAAATAGACCTCTCAAAGTTGTTTCAAAGTTTTTTTTTTCTCGATATTTATGCCAACATGACATGCCTCTTTTCTTTTTGAGTTCATATGACAAAAGAGATCAGATAAATGAATTGCCTCAAAAGAAAAAAGAAGTAAATTAGGAACAATATATCAGCACTAACATCGGTATCGTACAATATCGGCCAGTTTTTAAAATTGTATCGGCCAATATTAATATTTTGCAGCAATGTTGCTATACTTTATCCTTTTGATCTTTCAACTCCTGCCTATCTGTCGATTCTAAATACATTTTACATTTTTAAATAATAGAACACTGTTTTACAATCCTCTTAAATGCCTTGTGATGTGTTTTAACTGTATTCTTATATATTCTTATTCTTAAAGACAAATCTAAACGCTTTCTCTTGCTTTCCAAACCTCACAGCTGAGACTTCTGCTTTAAAGTCTCCTGACTTGGTTCGGCATTAAGGTAATAAAAAAGTCATTCAGGTTTTAAACTTGATCGTTTTTGCTGTGCAGGCGAAGTGATTGACGTGGACAGAGGCATCGTGTGCGAGAACGTCCCGATCATCACGCCGAATGGGGATGTGGTGGTGTCGTGCCTGAATTTAAAGGTGACGTAGAAGCACTCTTTCTCCTTATTTTTCAGTCCCATGACCACACACCCGCTCCTGTAAGGTGTTTATTAGTATTTCCTAGAAATTCCCAATGGCCTCATTAGTAAAGAGGTATTTCCTTTGGGGCGTTGGGAGCAATACTTTGGGGGTATTGCTCCCTGCTGGATGCTGGCTTCCGTAATTACAAATCATTCCTAAAGGTTTCAAACTTCAGTTTCTGGTGGTTATTTGTGCTTTTTACCATTTGAAATCAGCTGTGTGCAACGTTCTCTTCTAATGCACGGCTGTAAATCTAGACTTGATTAAAAGTTTCCGCTGTGTTGTCTGAAAGAACGTTTTTTTCATAGTCGCTCTTTTGCTAATCCAGTTAATGGATAAGGTACTTTCAAAGATAACAGTGAAATGATCAGACAGGGCGACATCATTGGAAATCTTCACACCCTTCCTGGTAATCGGGTCCAGTGTGTGTCCTTGGTTGTGTGTTGCTTGTTTTTGTTTGAGTCAGACTGAAATTATCAAGGATATCACGGTTTTTTTTTTTTTTTTGCCCCTCAGAGCGTACAGGATGTGATAATTAGCTCAGGAACAGTGTAGATAACAGCTGCGCCCAAGTGTTGCAACACCTAACGCAACTCAGGACGTCGGTCGCAGTTCACCTCGTTCATTTTGTTACTGTGCCGTAAAATCTTTCAAAAAGCCAACAAACACTTTCAAAAATATTTTTTTCACCTTACACCTTCATCTGTCCTCTAAGTGTAGCCTACAAAAGTTTTTTGAGTATCTGCTGCGCTGACATTTAGGGTAACGTTAGGTGGATGACGCCATCTAACTCTGCACTCGGCTTTGTATTATAATGATGCGCTGTAATTATCCTGATGGCTCCGCGCACTTCAGCCGGTTTGATAAATCGTTGCTCTCTCCCCTCCCTTTAGGTGGAAGAGGGCATGCACCTGCTGATCACGGGCCCAAACGGATGCGGGAAAAGCTCGCTGTTCAGGATCCTCAGCGGGTTGTGGCCCGTCTACGGCGGCCGCCTGTACAAGCCTTCGCCTGAGCACATGTTCTACATTCCTCAGAGGTAAGTGCACCGAAGATGACCGCTACGTTCAACCTCAGAGAAGAGCTTCAAGCCTGGAACTGCCCAACTTTCCCCAGTAATCTAATACATTGTAACAGGGCCTCTGTGTGTTGGCGGTAGGGAAACCAGAGCTGTGGAGAGAGTGAAATGTTCACTACGCTTTGTAGAAAGAGCATAAAAGCGTGTTTAGATTTTTTTTTTTTTTAAAGCAAATTTGTTGCGTACCAGTGCTGAATTTTTTGGACACTGGTGAAGAAATTTATACATTACATCATGAGCGTAAGCATTTACTTTTTGTAGGGTATTTTTTTTATGTGACGTGTTTTGGTGTTGAGCATTTTTAAAAGGAAGATTTCCTTTTATATGCAAATACGATTCTTAGTTTTGCACATAATATTTGAGTTCTTAAAAAAAAAAAGCATTAACATCTTGTAAAACTATTGTTCCATTGAACCACGCCAGTTTGTTCCATTCAAGTATTTTTATTTGGCCACAATTTTATTTTTTTTTTGGTTGACCAAAATCTGCTTGCATTTATGTTTATAAATGTCTTATTTGTTTTGACACACTAAACATATTGTATATATTCATATTTGAATATAATTTGTATTCTGGTGCCTGTTTGTAAAGGAAAGTAAAAACAAAAAAATAATAATAAACTCTATTTTGAAGTTGCATATTTGTTTGGCCAAATCCCCCCTAAAAAAGCCAAAAATGTGGAATTTTGTCTGTGATATTGTTTTTGAGCCATTTAAAAATACATATTGGCTTGTTTGTTTTTTTGCCGATATTGCCCAACTTCAGGCTTATCTACTTTATGAAACAGATTTTACATAATTTTCTTCATTTGTTTTGTAATTTTTGTGTAAATGCGTTAAAACACTTGTGTCGTAAGAATGACATCGTTTAGACAGATTACGCTGGTTTTTTGAGCTAGATGGAACTAAGCAGTTGCCTGATTGTAGCAAGAAACTATCAGTGTAATCATACCCATCGCTGGTGAGAGGTACCGACTCCCTCCTGCAGAGCAGTGAATATTTTATAGTCGCTACAAGAGACCACCTGGTAGCCGCAACAGAAATCCTTACGCCAGGAACAACAGAAATGAAAGCAGCCAAAGTGACGTACATACGCATTATCCCTTATTCCAATGAGGCTATACTAGAATCGTCGGTATAACTAAGAATCTCCCGGTGTGTGACGAGCGAATGCGTTTCTCCAGGCCATACATGTCAATGGGCTCTCTGCGAGACCAGGTGATCTACCCAGACTCAGTGGAGGACATGGTTGCCAGAGGGCTGACCGACAAGGACCTGGAGTCCATCTTGGACATCGTCAACCTCAATCACATCGTCACCAGAGAGGGAGGTAAGAAAATGGCTTTTCTAGGTCTGGAAAGTGCCCGATTTCTGTCCTTCAAAGGGCTCCATGATCAAACTGAACGGTTTTGTTATAAAGCGCAATCTGGCGTTTGATCAAAAGCCTGAATTTTGGAAACATTTATAGTTGAAACCAGATAGAAAGTGACACATTCATTGTTTGAAGTTAAACATCTCTTGATTTACAATTAGTTAGTTATAATTACCGCAAATAATTTCTGTTTGCTAAATCCCAGAAAAATGAGCGAGAGCATTTTCTAGATTTTTTTTTCTTGCGACTTTATTTTGTTTAAGCACTTAATTTGAGCAGGAGAGTCAGTTACGTATGGAGCACTCTTCGAGGAAAGAATGTCTTCCGTCAATGCTCTGTACTTTCGTTAAGGCTGGGATGCTGAGCTAGACTGGAAGGACGTTCTGTCCGGAGGCGAGAAGCAGAGGATGGGCATGGCTCGCATGTTCTACCACAAGTAAGACCGACTTCTTTTAGTTTACATTTAAATTCACCCGCCTCTTTGTCATCAAAGAAGAAATTAAATGGAGGTTTTTGGCACAACCTTAGCTGAGAAAATTGTAATTTCTTTCGGGTTGTTTTTTCCCTGTTGACGGCAGATTTTACATATGCCGTGTTTCGTATATACAGGATAAAAATGGTGACGCTTGAATGACTTTGAGCAGAAATAGAGACTCGATTTGAATAAGTGATATCATTTCCACTCCCTGTACGTTCATGCCAGGCCCAAATACGCCCTGCTGGATGAGTGCACCAGTGCTGTGAGCATCGACGTGGAGGGAAAGATTTTCCAGGCCGCCAAGGATGCCGGCATCTCGCTGCTCTCCATCACACACCGACCGTCCCTGTGGTGAGACGTGTTGCTCTCTGGAAATCATCTAATGGCACAATGAATTAAAATGAGCTCAATAATTTCCATTCCAGCGATTTCATATTTTTTTAGTTGCCAAGACTCTGTAATCCATTTGATTTGTGGTTTTCATTTCCTTTTTCTGTACTGCTTTTGGTTGTTGTGTATTTAAACTATTTACCAGTTGCTGGGTAAAGTGTTATGCCATGATCGATATATTACTTGAAAATGGTCTCAAATTTTATAGCAGTATTATCGTTTATAGCAGTAAATGCTGGGACGATTTATCATCCCGTAAAACTTATCGTGACAGACCTATTAGGTCTAAAAATTATGAGAAAAGTCATTTTAATAAGAAAAAAGCTGGAATAATTAATTTTCATTCTCCCTACATTACAGCTTTATTCTAGTAATATTAAGACTTCTTTTTTTTAACTGTATTTGACTTTTTTGTCACACGACTTCATTCTGGTGTTACCGCAAATTCACTTTTGTGAAGTTGCGGTAGTTAACCTGAATTCATAATCCAAATAAATAGGAAAAAAATAGAAAACCAAGGAGTACATTGATGAAAAAAAAACAGTGCGTCCAAATATTAAATCTTCAAAAACCAAAATTTGATTAATCAGTAAATTTGATTAATTGTTAAATTCGATCATTAGATAAAATCAAAATTTGGCAACCGCCATATTGTGATTGCCCAGTTATCAGGTTTCCCCTAACTGCTTGTGCTAGATGCTTATTGGACTGCAAATTCAGCCCCATTTATCTCACTCCATTTCAGGAAGTACCACACCCACCTGCTGCAGTTCGATGGCGAGGGCGGCTGGCGTTTCGAGGAGCTGGACTCGGCGACCCGCCTCTCCCTCACTGAGGAGAAGCAGCGGCTGGAGGCCCAGCTCGCCGGCATCCCCGAGATGCAAAACCGCCTCAACGAGCTCTGCAAGATCCTGGGAGACGACTCCGTCCTCAAAACAGCCGAGGAGTGAGAGCAAAGACGGGAGGTGGAGGCGACGAAGGAAAGCAAAATCTAGCAGCTTTCCGTTAGCTTTTTTCTTTTTTTTGGCTCCAAAAGGGAGCTTCTCAAGACTTGAAACCTGCTGTCTCCAACCCCCTTTTATTCCTACACACCGACTGAATGTTCAGTCGTACTTTCAAAAGTTGGGTTTTAGCAGTTGTTACAAGCAAAAGCAACAGAAACGACAGATTAACTAAAATGATTGTTCAGTTTGTGATCTAATAGCACTTTACATTTAGAGGGCCGCCTCTAAATTGTTGTAATTGTTCATGCTGACATAAAGGCATCAGTTATTCGGGTTTTTTTTATTTTTATTTTTTTACCCAAAGCAGTATTGCAAGTGATGACAAAAGTCGGCTGTCATTCAGTTTTTTTTGTAGCTCCGGCTTATCAAAATATTTTTCTGTAGCAAAAGTTCCGCTTCTATTTTTCATACCTTTTCTTAAACCGTTTTCTGGCATTTCACGTCGTCTCCCGAAGCTCCTGCCGCAGGGAGCAGAGGAGCAGGGGAGCAGGGGAGCAGGGACAGAAGCAGATGTTTGATTGTTGTCCTTCAGCGCACGCGGATGTTTTGCTCCTGGTCAAGCCGGTTGCTATGACAACAGCCGTGGTTCTGCCGTCGACACAAACACACACGTCCGCTGAGATATAGCGACGGAAGAGCGCCTGTAGTTTACGGTTATTATCCGGTCTCAAGGCGAACCATCCCGACTTTTCCTAAACTCAAGTTCAAACGACGTCTCCTCTGACCGTTTGTTATGGGACTTTTTATGGCGTTCTTTCTCTTAAAAAACAGTTTTTCCGAACGTTTAGTGGATTGAGCCTAATTCTCAATTATAAAAAGTGCTTTTTTTTGTTGTTTTTAAATGCACTTTATTGTTCCCGAAAGCTGTTGATTGCACGTCCTGTGGCGTGCATGGAGGAAAGGCTGCACTTGAGGATTGTCTAGACGTTCTACATTTTTACTTTCCGCTGATCAGATTGGACGTTGCGATACTGTGAATCTACCGAATTGTGACGCAAACTCAACCACTTCCTCCTCTTCAGGGTTTTTTTTTTTTTTTTGGCCTGATCGGGTTCAAACCTGTGTACACGCTCGCTGCGTCCTGCATGAATCAAATCGAGAGCAGGAGCTTCTGCCTTATGAATATGAATATTCAAGTGATCCGAAATATTTTTTTACCGCAGCACAACCTGTTAATACCTTGTTTTATGTAGATGTTTGAAGTAATAACGTTTAAAGAACCACTGCTTCATTTTATGAAATTCATCGTACAATTGTTTTTAAAACTGAGGCTGAGCAACACAGTATTGCCCCACCCCCACCTGTTGCTGCCTCGCTTTTTCAGACATTCGGCTGTCTATAAAAAAAATTATTTTTAAAAAAGTTCGTCAATTGATTGCAGAGGTTTTGCAGTGGTGAGAATGATGCTTTTTGGTTTTAAATAAACACGGTTCTTTTTTTAAAATGTTTTTTTTTTAATACCTTTCTCTTTTTGTAAATTCCGTGTGAAGGCAGCGCCGCAGTGAAACTGTGAGGTTTTCACAGGATCTCCAACCAGCCCGAAGCCCATGGCAGCAGAGAAGTAAAACTGACAATCAACACCATCGTGGGCAGAATGTAAACAGACGTGCTGCTGTTTTTATTTTTATTTTTTAAGACATAAAGCATTTGAACCGAGCCGTGATGACGTTTCCTACTGAACATGCAACGTGTCGGGACGGAGCAATCTCAAAACCTTCAATCATGACTTTAAAGAAAGCTTTGAGTGTTTCTACTATTTCTGATGGGCTTTTTTTTCCCCTCACGAAATAAAAAAAACAACATAAATGAAGAGCAAAGAAAAAAGCTGCTGAAAATTTAAACAGCTACTAGTATTTTTTTTAAATAATGGTCATGTAATGCTATGAAATGCATAGAGATGATGAATTCATTTGGTATGAAAGAAGCACCTTTTAAAGTAGATTTTTTTTTTTGTTTGTAGATGAGATGGATTTCCTGCTTTCAGCCCAGACTTTGTTGATAAGGGGACGCACAAGCCGCTGAATGACACAGAGTCTGCCGAGTAACACTCGAGCGCGAGGGCAGCTTGAAGTGGTTCTTGGTTGTTAGTTTGTTTTTAAGTGAAAAAGAAAATAATCTTCACGTTGAAAGGATGGGGTAGAAAATGATGGAGTGCCCTCTTCCTGATCTAATTGTGCCCTTTTGTTAAGATTGTGTTCAGATTTGTTTTAAATAATATTTTACATGTTTTAGGTAACAATGGTTCTCTGCCCCAGTTTTTCCCCCAATAAAAATCCTAAAGCTTGATACTAAACTGCTGTCGGCTGCTGGCTTCTTTGTGCAAGTCTTTTTGGGACCACTGACTAATGGCCGCAGGTAAGAAATAACCCTCATGTTGGTGCTAAGGATATGAACTAAAAAAATCTCATCGTACTGCTTATGTATGACGAAAGGAATAGTTTCAGTTTCCGCCTTCAACTTAACTGAGAATTCAAGGTTTAAAGGCATTTGAAATTTGTGTGATTTTCATCAACCAAAATTCTTTCCAGTAAGGGCTGCAGATCTCTTTGACATTGTTAGTGTCAAAGATCTTTTAGTTTTTTGTACTTGCTATAACATTAATAAATCAGAATGCAGAACAGGAAAAAAAAAAATAAATAAAAATTCCAGTTTTGGTGCCCCCTCTAGAACAGCGCCCCCACGCGTTGCATACACTACATACCTACTTTTTGTGCCACTGCTGCTCAAGCCACCTGCTGACCGTAATCCAGTTTTATCCTTGCAGTATTAGCGCACAACCAATAGAGGGCAGCATAGTCCAACAACAGGTTTTAATGACTCCGTCACTCTTATTTAAGTCTCCAAATTACATAAAAGTTTTTTCTGAATATAAAGGTTTATGTATGTATCAATTTAAAAAAACTGTATTAAACAGTTTAAGGAAAAAAAATTATGAATATTAAGGGTATCATTTACAAAACAACATAATTTAAATACAATTGTAACCACATGAAATAGTATGCACGTATTTAACTGTTTTGATCATTTAAAAAATTAATCACTAAAAATAACTTATAATTGACACTTGAACACATTTGCATAAGTTGAAATACTATGCTAATATTTTACTATTTAGACCCTGAAGTTGACTGGTTGATCTCTTCGGCATGTCAATAACACTTACAAACTGAGATGGTCGTTGTAAGAGAACAACTTTATTGGCTTATTCATTTATTTCTAAATTAAACGACGCGTTTCGTGAATCACAGAGACGTTCAAACCATTATTTATTTAAACTATTTCCAGATTTCATTCAGTATATCCCCACTATAAATATTTATTTAGAAAATTGAAAAATAAAAATAATAATTAAAAAAAGGCTAACTAGCTGTAACTGTCGACCAAATCATTAGGTAGTAGTTGATGTAGTGGTAATTTATTATTATTATTGTTGTTGTTGTTGTTGTTGTTATTGTTATTATGTGCTGTTGTGCTTTGTCAGGATTGGTACAGCTCGGGAGGAGGAGCCTTGTTACGTCAGCGAAGGACGCCAAAGCGGTTCCTCGCGCTTCCACACTCTTTACCACGCGCAGCTGGAGCGGCGAGAGAGAGAGAGAGAGAGAGAGAGAGAGAGAGAGAGAGAGAGAGAGAGAGAGAGAGAGACGATGCCGCTGGAGGACTGACCACCGCCGGCTCCCCTTCTGCCCTCTGCCGCCTCATGTTCCGAGCAGACGCTTCGCCGCGGAGTTGCGGAGAAATGAGCCCAGCGGCAGGTTGAATGAGAGCGGGCCGCCGTGGAGGCTGCAGACCGACGCACTTCGCTGAAAGGAGGCAAAGGGAGGGCGGGGGGAGGGGGACGCACGCTCGGCCGTCTCGTAAGAGGATAAAGAAAGGACGAAAAGGGAAAGCGAGCTATTTTTAAGGCGGACAATTTGGGTGACGCCATGAGCAGCGGAGCGGACGAGAGCTCGGTGCGGGTTGCCCTGAGGTAAGGATGCAGAGGAGAGGACCCTCCTCTGGAGAGATGCTCATCTCTCACACCTGCTAGGATCCGCACTATTCCTGCTATTGTAAACACTGCACCCTAACCTGGATTTGCACCTCTAAATCCAACTGTATTCCATTCAAAGTGCTTTATTCTACATCTGGCTGCATAAATCATAGCTTATCTGCATTATGAATATCCCAGCGTGTGTTAATATGGAGCTACTCCTTTTCAGTGTTGGCCTGTGGAGTGGATTTATGAATGAAAATCTGAGGTGCTGGGGGATTAGGCCCACGCAGGTTTGTCTCTTGTGCTCGGATTAGATTGCAATATGAGGATGGAGGATCATCCAGTGCTTTTGATCGCCTCAAATAGATCACACCACTCAGCAGTACCTTCACCTACTTGATCTGTTTCTTTGTTTTCAGGCTTTTTCCACTGTGTGTTCCCACAGCGTTTCTGATTATGTTTTTATCTACTGGCGGTGCTCCCCCCCCCCATTTGACCTTTGTCCCCAATTTGCTTGTCACGGACAGCAGACTCAACTAAATCCTACCTGTGAAAATAATAATAGGAATAAAATAACATAAAGAGATGGCATGGCTTCACCGAATGCGAGTTTGTCTGCAAACATGCATGTGTTTGTATTGGAAAAGACGGGCTGCAACGTCATGTGATCTGAGTGGAAGAGAGAGGACAAAAGCTGCTCCCTCTCATGTTTCTCGTCCCCTGCCTCGCTTGCCTTTTCTCGTTATTTTGCATTCAGACTTTGACCCAGAGCCGTGTTTGCTAAGCCAACTCGGTTTACAAGCCGGCCTCTCTCTCGCTCGCTCTCTGTCTTAGATAGTAAATAATCTATTTCATCAGTGCAAGACAACCTTCAAAAATCAAGAAGGACTAGCTTAAGGCTGTGACAGTTTTTCTTGTGAAAATCACTTATTTCAGTGACTCTTGCTATTGTATGCACTCAAACAAGCTTCTCGCAGCGTCACAAAATAGACTGCTGAACATGTTCATGTGTGTAATTTGGGTCATTTGAATTTTAATCTTTAATGTTTTTTGTTGGAATTTCATGTTTTAGTTCAACAAAAACTACTTCATAATTCTCAAGCTTGAATCTCAATCTCACTGGACGGAGGTCATCTGACATCGCAAATTTTGAAGTCCTGTCTCAGTCTCTCAATTTCGTAAGCTTCTGACTTTAACTAGACCATTCTGACAGAGGAATATGTAGCTGCAGCTATGTGTGTTGCCTCTGGCAGGGTTTTTTTTTTGTTTGTTCACGTTTAGCCTCCTCTGATCAGTTCATGTAAACGAATAGAATTCGCTGTAATGACATTTGTTGCAAAGTGACTCATTGAGTAAATTGTAAGGCGATTTGATGACTCAAAGCCAGTATGATCTTGTCTGAGGCCAGCAGTGTCTGAAAATGCTTTGTCACTGAGCTAAACACGCACGCACGCACGCACACACACACACACACACACTAGGTAATCCACTTCATGGTATCCTGACCTGACCCTATCATGATACATAGATGGATCCAGCTGCTGTTTCACCACAACTTCATAATAAAACAAACTAGACTGCAGAAACCAATTCAGTATTTTTGATTAATGGAAAGTAAAATAAAAAATGATGGGAAAGATAGAAACGTTTAATGCTTTGTCAGGCTAACAAAAATGCTAATGTTTGTGTCTGTTTTGCAGCTTCACACCAATATGAAGTTCATAGAGTCTAAAGTACAAAATATACAGTACTTAGTCTGAGCTAAGGAAATTCTAAAAAACTAAATTAGATTATTCTATTCCCACCACACTTTAGCATCTCAGCCACTATGAGATGTAGACATTCAGCTCACTTAGTAAATGATTGATGTACAGATTGTGAATGTATCATGCTTAATATATTATTAATGTATATTAGAACTATATTATTCCACCAAATATGGTACCTCAGTTATAATATTACAGAACCTAATATTACTATGACAGCAGTCCTAATTGAAATATTGGTTGTTCATATTGGCCCAGTTTTATTTTTTCGGTCTCTAACAAATGACTTATATCGGCCGATACCAGTGTAGGTGGCGATACATAGTGCATCACTGGACAAACTCAAATGGACTTTCAATGGATTCTCTCTTTAGCATCATATAGCAACTACAGACCAGAGTTGATGTTTGGTATAGCCATAATCTGCATTCAAGACTGTTGAGACACACTGGCAATATCTGTCAGCAGGCTCATTAATACATTTTGGAATGGTGCTTTCATAGTTATTTAGATTATTATTCTGTTGTTTCTTCTGCTTAATAGTTGAGTCAACACAGATGGAGACTGATGACACAGTTTGGCGTTACAACAAAGAAAGCCAAGCATCAATCAAAGTAAATACAGTAACGTGTGTTTCTTAAATTTGCAGGACCTCAAAAAGAACATGTCACCCTTACATTGATGACGTTGTCATTTGCATTCAGCGCCCAATAAATCACTCATCTCATTCCTCCGTAAGCCCCACCTCCATGTCGGTGTTTCCAACACAGCTAATCGTCATGGACACATTCTAATTATTCTGAACCTTTGCAGCTAATGAATCTTCTCTGCCTTTGCCATACGCCGTCTGTCAGGCTCAGCTCGCAGGTCGCTTGCGTATACCTGCCTCGACTTGTGCAACTAATGCCGTCTTTTAACAATTTCCCTAATCCGCCATCCCAACAAGGCCACAGTGATGAATCGCTTTGTCTTTTTTTTTTTTTTTCAGGTGTGGTAACGGACAAAAGGAGAAGGCAGCATTGTAGACAAAGGGAAGGCCCCAAATTTTGATTTATTAGTGGAAAAATGATCCCTCCTCATCTGTCCCGACAATGGTATTAATGCTTAAATCTTATTGCGAATCTCAATTGTAGTATTTCTTCTGCGTTCCTTGATGATGGAGAACGATTATGTTGGTATGTTACACCTACCTTAGTTCACCGTCCCTGATAGTAACATTTTTCTCGGGGTTCAAACGTCATTATTAAGAATTTATCACGATAACACTGAACACAAATTTCATCAGGATAATGTGCTTTCGCCTGCTCTGAATTTAAAGCAAGTTCTAGTTCAGAAAAAAAGTATATTACCTATTTATTTTATCGACAGGATTATGTGTAAATGAGACAAGCATGCAAAGTGCAACAAATTGATCAAATATACCTTGACTATTTTTTTGTGCTAGCTGTTGTTAGCTGCTCGCTGCTGTTGGCATTGTACAAAAAAAAATTTCAAGATGAGATTTTAAACTAGGAAAGGAACAAAAGTTTGTTTATATGACACAATCGGTAAAGTCGTG